GTATTTGGAGAGAAGGAATTAAACATATTTGGTCTTCTGACGTCCTTCCTCCCTTATACAGCTCAAGAAGTGGGTATAGAAATTCTGGAGACCCTCTGAAACAGTTGTTGATATTCTAATGAGAGGGTGGGAAATCCAGAGAATTATTGTCCTGGCTTTATGATCAGGTCTCTTTATACCATAGATAGATAGATAGATAGATAGATAGATAGATAGATAGATAGATAGATAGATATTTCACAATGTTCATTCTTGTTGAAATACTTCTTTTTTTCATTCTAAGTTATTTTCTCAAATTCTACTTCATATATAGCTTTAATATTACATTTGTTTGTACTAATGAAATTTTACAGGAAGTTGTTGGCTAATATTTAAACAAAATGGTATGGCAATTATTTTTAATGAACATTAATACATGTCTTATTAAAATTAATTAGTTGGGGAACAGATTGTTTTTGGATGTTGCAAAATGTTTAACAGCTTTATTTTCTGTGAAGATGAAAAAAAATATAATAACCCAGATGTATATGCTGGCATGTGTTTAAACAACAGCATTGAACAAAGACTTTAATGATAGAAAATTCAAAACAAAAATTGCTAGGTTAAAAAAAGAAGAAGAAATCCATATAATAATTTAATTGCTGAAAATTAAAATGTGTGAGTGTTTGAGTGCTTCAAAATGCTTTTACTGCCTAGCTGATTTTCATCTGCATCAGGAACATTTTCTCAGGATATCTGGAGGCTGAGTCATGGCAACTGGACTTGGCTTGATACATCTTGCTGCTTGTCCAAGGAGCTTCTTCAGTCTAGAAAGTTGGTTAGGGGGATACAGACCAATGCCTGCATTTTGACTCCCACCATCCACTGCAATACAAACTAGGAGTCATCAGGATATTACACCACAGGGCAGAAACCATCCTCACCTCCATAGTTGCCAAAAAGAAAGAAAATAAGACACCTGAGGACAGCTCTTAAGGCCTGTGGGTATCCAAATTGGGCCTTTATTAAATCTACTTCTAGATCCAAAAAAAAAAAAAAGGCAGACAGAGCTGAGACCCAGAGTCAATAGAAGAATCTTTTCATTCCTTGCATGGCTCATATGTCAGAGAAAATAAAATAGATATTTGGAAAACACCACATACCTGTTTTTTTCAAACCCACTAACACACTGAGACAGAGGCTTGTACACCCTAAAGATTAAACACCAAAACAGAAGAGCAATATATGCAGTCCAGTGCAGTGAGAAGTGTTCAGAGCTCTACACTGGAGAAGCCAAACAGCCTTTACACAAGAGGATGCCCCAGCACAGGAGGAGCAACAACACAGGACCAGAATCAGAAGTTTACCTTCATCTAAAGGAAAAAGGACACTCATTTGAGGACAATAACATGCACATTTTGGACAGAGAAGATAGGTGGTCTGAGAGAGGAGTGAAGGAATCCATTTAGACCAAAGTGGAAAATCCTTCCCTCAATAGAGGTGGAGGCCTCAGACACAACTTGTCTCCCATTTTTCATGCTGCTCTTTCATCAGTCCCCAGGAAGATTAAGACTTCTTCACAAGTTCACCAGGGAGGCAGCACTTGACTCATCTGAGGATGAGTGAGGGGTTAGGAGTAAGACATCCACATCTCAAAGACTCTACTAATCACATCTCCTATTGCCCCTTTAATGAGCCCATCATGTTAGTGAGAACCCCAGCCCCCCGGGAAGCCATTTGTGGGGCCCCCCCAACCAACTTTCTAGACGGAAGAAGCTGCTGGGACAAGCAGCAAAACATATCAAACCAAAAGAAAAGAAGCCCAGCTGCCATGACTCAACCTCCAGACAATTCCACCTGGATGACTGAGAATCTTCATCAACATATTTTTCTCAGGATATGTTTACATTATTATTTGTAACTGTTAATTGAAAATCTTAATACATTCTGAGGTAATAATGAACATTTAATGAAATTGTGAGGTACATTAGGGAAAATAAAAATGATGCAAAAGCAGGGATAGGTTGTTTTATGGTGATTGTTTTTTCTTGAAATTAATCAGCAGAAATTGAGACATTAATTATACGAACTTTGTGCTAAAGGAAAATTCATTTTAAATGCAAATAACAGTGAATTTATGGGATATGTATTTGGAGAGAAGGAATTAAACGATGTGTCCTTCCCAAGGGCTTATCATTATAAAAAGGACATGTTTTCTAGGTTAGTTTTTTATCAGACTCAGTTTTTAGTATAATAGTAATCAATTAATTTCTATACCCAAGTCTACAAATTTGTAGTTATATCCACAGTTAACAACAATAACAGCAATAGGAGGAGCAATGGAGGATAGAAAATTAGGTCATTTCACATTCTGTCATGCTTGTATAGTTGGGGAAAAAAAAATCACCCAGAAATGGGTACTATTGTTAATTGAAGTGAAATGAGTAGCAGATAATGCTTTGAAATCATTAGGTGTAAGGGCCCTATGTATCTGTGCTTCCAGAGCTCACTCAGTTGTCTTCCCACAATAGTCTTTTGCTACAATGGTACTTCAGTGGTCCCACTGCTCTCCATCTGTGGTATTTCTAGGATCCTAGTAACTGCTGTAAACTTTTCTTCAGCAACTGGTCATTCTTCAAAGTTGTAAGGGAAATATCAGCTTATCTGGAATAATAGAAAAAATCCTGGCCATCAGGGAACCACTCCAGACAGTAAAAAACAAAAACAAAAAACTAATCATAACCATTCAGACACCTAAAAGGGAACCAAAAGTTGGTACGAAAGTTGTAGAAGGTAAATGGATAGATTTCAGCAAGGAATAAAGCTGAGAAAAGATGGAAAGAACCCATTTCCTGCCTCATGAATCCTTCTGGCTGTTCAAGGACTTTTTCCTATATTCTTGTCAATCACAGAATAAGCCAATTAATCTGCTAAGTCATATCATTGTACAAAAGGAAAAATACAGTTCACTTAGTCACTTATAGTGGCCAGAATCTTGAGGTAGGGTTTAGTAGAAGATTTGTTGATTTATTTATCCAATTAATATGGCCTTCCATCTTTCCAAGAAACTCTGGGCAGTGAAGAAAACAAAAACAGAGAATTTCATTAAATCAAAAAATCAACTAAACTTAATTGAGGGTCAAAAACAACAACAACAACAACCATGAACCACATGACACAGGCATTCATGCCAAAGCTTTCATGCTAACATCCAGACTCCAATGCCTGGTGAAAGAGCCAGGTCTTCATTGTCTTGTGAAAGCCAATAGAGTAGATGCTGTTGATACATCAAGGGGAGGCTGTTCTACAGTATAGGCACTATAACAGAGCAGGCACACTTCTGGGGGCCTGACAGTTGACATTATTTTATCACTGGTACCCGAACATGCCCACTATGCCAGATCTGGTGGGGTAGACAGAAACCACTGGGGAGAGATGGTCCAGCAAGTGATCTGGTGCCATGCCATGTAGAACTTACTCCAAAAATGGGTAGTATAAAGCAGTGATTTTCAAACTTTTTCAGGCCATAGAACCTGTTAATTTAACAAATAATGAAAATTAAAATTCTGGAACCCCTGATCAAATGATAAAGTTGTAGTGATAGAAAATTGGCTGTGTGAGAGCATTTTTTTAGTCTTAGTCTTTCCTGGAACCCTAGCATGTTCTTTGGAATTCTAGGGTTATGGGCAACACAGTTTGAAAAACTCTGGCTATTATAAAGTGTTTTGTTGGTTATTGTTTGAAAACCTGCTGTAAAGAGAAGTTGTGAGTTCAATGTTAAAACAAACAAACAAACAAACAAAAAATGTGTGAGATTGACCCTGATTCAGACATTGGATCCAGCCAAAGTTGTTTTTAACCATGTAAATATAGTGGCCTGGTTCACACATAACAGTAAGCCAAAAATGATGATTTGCAAACCACAGTAGTTGAGTTTATGCATTGTGCTAATCTATATGATGGCTTAGTGTGGTGCATGAACCTGCTTCAGACTTGCTGTGTTTTATTTAGAAAGGAAGAATACACAGGAAATTTTATTTGAGAATAAGGTCTGTTCCACCCAGTAAAATTTACACGTACAAACTCTGAAAGTTGCTTCTTGTTGCACAGGCTGTCAATCAACCTTGATCAAGTCATTTTATATGGATTTATGAGAAAAAGTTCACCTCTTCTGGCCTCTTGATGCAAATACAACTGGTTGCCATTAAGTTTCTTCACTTTGCCAAAACTTAATGGCAGGGTGAAGCTAAGTATTGCTG